ACAGGGGGACGCACAATGGACCAATATCTGGTCTAAGTGAATGGGGAAACCCACCCTCTCCAATAACAACAACAACATTTAACGCAAATATATAGAAAATATTTGTTGGAAGCTTGCGAATGATTTGATTACTGTCTATTTCCGAATCTTATCCACCTTACAAAGTTCTGCTGTTCTTTCATCAGGACCTTCATAAGTCCTGCTGTGTTTGGGACTATTTCCACTGACATACTTTGTAACCGAAAACTTTCCTTATATCCTCTCACTAGACAGCGCACAACGTAGCTAATATATTTAATTTTTATAATTTTATCTGTTTCGTATGTGTTAAATAAAGTAAAGTAAAGCTATCCCTGTACCAGGCCGTGAAGGCCCATAGGGTTGTGAGACGTTGAAGGTCCCACATTATCTAGACAATCAGCTCAAAGATGGCGGCAAGGTTGTCAGCCTTACGCACCGGCCGCGCTTTACCCCCCAGGAAAATTATTTAATTATTTCCTGGTATTCATTTCTGTTAGAGGCTGAGTAAACCCCAGGGCCTAGTGCGGCTGGAAGGATTAGGTCAACTGAAAAAAATACAATGACCTCATCGGGACTTGAACGCCTTCCGGCTTGTAGCGTAGCACCTCAACCACTACGCTACCGCATGCCCCCTCAGAAAGGGGAAATAGGGGTATACAAATTTTTCGTAGGAAAGTGTGAATGAAAGAGCATATGTAATTTTTACCGTCAACGCAACAATACTTTATTATTTATTTATATAGCACGTACTACATGTTTCTCACACACTATTACCGAATGAAACAGACCAGTAGGAATATCTACGCGTAGATGGTAGAATAATTATAAAATAGATCTTAAAGAAATAGGCTGGGAGGATGTGAACCGGATTAATGTGTGTACACATCAGAAATGTGCCTCTATGTACACGGGAAATAAACCTTAAGTTCCAAAAAGAGCTTCCAGTTTCTTGACTAGATGAACAGCTATTTGTTTCTCAGGTAGGAAGCAGTTCCACAGACTTACGTAGTTAAGTTATTTATTTGTCTCTTCCTGTAGGACTTCAACAAATCAGGACTAGACTTATCTTCATTTTGTTTTGCTTTCCACTTGGCGCACGAAGCCATCTGAGATCCAAGGATTAAGGGAAACAAAATATGACGTTCAAATTACTTCTGAATATTCAAATTTCGCTTTTATTTTTAAATAAAAATTAATTAAATTATTTCAATTATTTTATCTTTTGAAGATGATAAAGGGACAAAGAACTGAAATGTAGAAAATGGCTCTGAAACATAACAGAAATACAACTGCTAAGCCCTACTACAAATTATAGAATTGCGTGAACACGGTGAATATATCCACAAGTATGATACCGGCTTACACTCATTCATAATTTTGTTTCCCTATCAGGGCAACTACACAAACGTAGCATGTGATAGTAAGCTGTTACACCTTACTAGTTTTCTCAATCATTATTAGCTTGTAAATTAATTAGAAAGGAAATGTTCCAATCCAAAGTGGACTGAGGGCTGTGAACCTTCAAGAAAAAAAAAGTAAATTTTGCACCCTCGCCCCACCTCTGAACCCCCGACTTCGGCCATTCCTTGTAAATAGCGAGACGGAACGTGGAACCGATATTTCTTGTTATAGCCCTATTCAAAATTCTGGTGTCATTAGAAAGAGATTTTAAAAATGACCATGTTTTTGATAAGGTTATTATTATTATTATTTACGTCATTATTACTCTATTATAATTAGGTTTTTTATTATCATTTTCTTTCTTTTCTTCCATTGACGCTACAGCCCTCATTTGGGCCTAGGCTTACCTCCATGAAACTTTCGTTTAACTTCGGTTTACTAGAT